GTTCAAGGATGTGAAAGTCGTACACGCTATTCTCGTCCGTGAAAGACAACAAACAACTATTAAAACCTCCCAAAATGTGGACAAAAACAATATTTCAAGCCGGGCTATATAAAACAGCAGTCTATAAACATGCAGTCAACTATAAACAGGTAAACATTTTAAAATTCACATTTTTATTTTAGTATTTCATGAAAAAATGTTAGGAATAAATGGTAAAATGTACTCTATTTTTTTAGAAAATAAGCCACAAGTGTTTATAATGTGGTTGTAGATAAACCTTTTTGTATTTACTGTATTAAGTTTATGCAATAATTTCATCCCTTGCAATATCGAGTTGCACAACAGTACATGTATGATGAAACTATGATGTTTTGGTGTATTAAAGAGGAAATTAAGGTTTTATATATTTAGCCAAAGGTTTTGTTATGCATGAGCTTGTGGTGAACTAATGCAAGAAAAAGCTCAGCTGCCTAGTAGGGCCAGCTGAAGTGAGAAGGCATGTTTTATATCCAAAATTGTGCATTGTAGTTTTAATATGTGCTCTCTGATTGTATTGTATTGTATCATTTGTATGATAGTTTGTTGTATGTGTCTTTAAAAGGCCATTAGCTTGTTTGCCCCATCCTTCAAATATTAAAGTTAATTGTGAGTCTCTAGTTTTGCCATATTGCAGTAAGCGAGACTTTACTGCGTGGTTATTTTAATATTTTTATAGTGGAAATTCCTTTCAATTTGCATGGATAACCTGGCTCAGTTTGAGATCTCACTTGAACAAGACAAGATCTAATACTACCCTGACTGACTTGGTCAAAATGAAGTCAAAACAACAAAATTGGTCATGAAAATAGTGTCAAAACAATAGAGATGCAGAATTTTCCAACAATCCATGAGTCCATGCCACTGTTGTTTAACTGTTAATGAAACTCAGTACCAAGCTGCAACATGTTTGTAAATTAAAGATTCAAAATCATGATTAATTTTGTATTATTTTAATTAAACTTGGTCAAAGAATAATTATCAAATTAATAATTATAACTGTACAATCAAGTTACAATATGTGATAGAGTATTATTATAACTGTAGCTCCATGGGCCGGGTGATTCTAATTGGCTATTCCCTGTTTTGATGCCTTGGGCCATTTCTTGTAGTACATATAACAGGGGTTTTTTTCCAGGATTTTCTCTTGGGTCCGTTTTTGCAGAGAAGATTGAGTTTAGCTGAACAGCTGTGGTGGTTGCACTCCCCCCCCCACCCCACCCCCTACCGGGGGGCTGACACTTGTACTCAACAAATGTAGTTGAGACGGAATGTGTTAGAGCAGGGGCATTGAGGGACACTATAAACTAGTTAAAGATGGCGAATGCATAGTTTTTCTTGTGTTGTGAGATGAATTCCAGCCATTTTTTCTTAATTGTCGGGTTTCCAACTGAAAACTAATTTCCACACATCACAAATTTAACTCAAACAACTTCATTTTTACTGCACTGAAACTTTGGTGAGAAGATTGAGTTTCAAAACTCAATTCAAGATTGAGCCCTAAAAAATCCTTGAAAATAAGCAGCTGATATAAGACTTTGGAGAAAAGTCATTGTTAGTTTTTCCAGTTACGGTAGGTCTGGCAAGTACCACCACTACTATAACACCACTATTCTTGTTATTTGAACATTCCAAAGAACTTGTCCACATGACTTACATCCCGGATCACCCTAAATGAGAAATGTCAATTATATTTATAAAATAGTGACAGCTAGTATCATTAGAACACACTTTGAAGAAATAGTGAGTCATATATACCAGGCTCCAAAGTCCAATTACAGGGAAATTTACTGTAGAGTAGACATTATTTATATGTTAACCCATTCAGCACGTACCACTGTGCTCTCTTGTTGACAAGTAAAATTGTTGGCGTTAGACAAAGTAACACGAACATATACAGTAGGGTGCAATGCAACTGAACCCATTGAGGGGCAGCACTCTCAACTTGACAAGTAAAATTGTCTGGCATTGGACGGAGTAAAATATTGTGGTGGGGCGCATTGCCACTTAAAGGATTAAAATGGGTTCATTACGGATGAAATAAATTGATCCAAGCATTTTTCACATGAGTTCTGGCATTTATAAGCCCAGCTAGCTTGCAACCAACTTTAAAGCATGCAACCAACTTTAAAGCATACAGCAGTTAATTGCACCCAAGCTTATTATTTTACTCAGGCAGTCTAATGCCTGACAATTTTACTTGTCAAGGGGACAGTCTTGTCAATTAATTGTATTTCTTAACTCCCCAAAGTTTCATTTTACATTTAATTACAATATATCACAAAATCAAATGATCTAAGTGAGAAGGTTCACAACAATCACAAATAATATATCTAACTGAAATTTGAGCTCTACTCCAATACTGGGGACACCACCACTGAAACCTGAAACTGCTCTCAAATATATCATCAATCAATTTAGGTTAATTGTCAGAGCATAAGGTTGGTCAATGCCAAGGTGACTGGCACACATATTGTGCACCTGTCATTCCTATATTACCGGCCTCTAATGACTGTGGGATTTATAGAACTCTGACAAACTATGTTGGGTGAGATATTGTAAACCGGCCTCTGAATATAAGCCAGCTAGCCCTGGGCTTGTATTCTAATACGTATGGCTAAGCTGCATTAATAAATATACCTGGAGCCAATTGTATCAAGCCTGTTTAGCTTAAACGTTGGTTAAGCTCAAAATAGAAAGCAAGTCTATACATTCATTCAACAACCAAACTAGAAGTTTTGAACCTTAATAGAATGTTTACAACTACATGCATATTCAGTGCAGAATATTTAAGTTGACTGATTCATGAGAAATTAAGCTAAACAGGCTTGATACAACCGGCCCCTGTCAAATAATATAAGCCCATGGGCTTGTACACACAGGCCTGGCTTTAGAGGGGGGAGGGGCTTATATTCGGAATAGCCTGAGCGTTAGTAAATATGATGGGACTATACACAGGGGGGCTTATATTGGGGGGGGGGCTTATATGTTTATGGTAATTGCTTGATTGCAATGGGTATTGAATGGTTTGAACCTGATGTCTTTGGCCTAGCTAGCAAAGTATTTGTTCACTTGTCTACATGTCATGTAAAGTGAGATTTCATATAACTACACAGTAATTATAAACAACTGCTGGCAAGAACCTGGCAAGGATATCACTCAAAGTTTGTCAAGGAAAATTTAATATACTAAAATACTAAATAAATACAAGTGTGCAGACACTACAGCAAGGACTTTGAAATCATATTAACGACATTAACCAGCCATGAAACCCTACGCAAAGAACAATAAAATGTACAGAATTGCCAACCATTTACAGGTTGTTATGTCTGCTAATAATTTGCTGTTCATATACTTTTATGTTCGTAGTATTATAGACTTTGTAGTTTGTACTTCTGCTTCAAATTTTCTACAATATATAAAATTCTTACCGGTGAATAAAAAGATTCTTCTTGTACGTCTCATACATCTACGAGCGGCGCAAAAAGGCAGGATCCTCGACATTGTAAATCAACCAAGTTATAGGAGAAAAATATCAAGATTTTCAGTGCGATTTTTACTTCAAAAACAAGCGAAATCATATTAAAAATATCTGTGCTGAAACCAGGGGGGTGAAGTACATTGTCGAAAACTTAGGATCGCGGTTGGGACAGTGGTAGTTGCCATGAATTTAGGGACCAGTAGTCATGGCAATGGCGTCAGATCCGCCATGTTTTTGGCTTCACTTTTTTTTTCCGAGCAGGTCCTCCAGTAATATAGTATAGCTCAGTGGATGAGATGCGCTGCACCATATTTGTTCCGATTTGTTCCACTCATCTTCCAAATATCAGCTCCAAAATATTCCTGCAAGATGAAGTACAGCAACCCAGTAACGAGACAAATGTTGAAGTGAGAATCTAAAGTTTGATCAAAGCAGAGCAGAGGAATTAATGAAATATTAAATATTAAATATATATCTAGAATTTGCAACTTTGTTTGTGTAAACTATAAGCGGGACATGAGTACATGACTGCACAAAAACGAAGCACCCGACGCATAAAAAGTCGAAGTATTGCTGCCAATATTCGACCAAACAATGCCTTATCCTGATCAATAATGGTATTCTCCCAAAAGGTTCAATTTATCAAAACAAGAACTTCGTGTGATCTTCCAAATTTCTAAATTTTGTTTCGAAAAAAGAATAATTATACATTGGAATGTCTTCGTTGTCACAGTGGACGTATTTTGTATAATACATAGAGATTCTTGGATGCCTTGGAACTTACAAAAAATGCTTGTAACCTTTTGTTGGCCGATATTTATCATGTTTTAATGGTGAATCGGATATGCCATGGTAGACTTTGTAATTCTTTATATCTCTGTTTGTGTTTTACAATGTTCTTGGTGGGATTGTGGTCACTGGCAGGCTCCTAATCGTATTTATGATAGACATACATTGCAATGAATACTGTATCTACACAGAATAGTGTTTGTATGACTTCTAACAATGGTAAGTATAAATTTCAAAATAATGAAACTCCCAACAATTTCATTTTCAATTTCAAAATTGAAAATGAATTGTACCTTGTCATCAATCCAGAGACCACATATTTTATGATTGGGGGGGCTTTTACAAATTACAAGCCTGGAAAATAACTCAAATGGTCAATGCTAGTGTAGGTAGTGACCGAGGGATCCGCCACGGCTGAAATCTCATCATGTTCAACACTTGAAATAAATCTGGTATTCCCGCACACCCATGTATTATTCTCTATTTATTATTACCAATTTCCCAAACCAACCAAGTAAGAAAGGGAATATGTGTTCAGTATTATGGCTGAAGCCACCCCCCCCCCCCTGCTTAAGTGGTCCCTGCAAGTTTTGTATTCTTGTGAAAATCTTGACCACTACAGAAGAGTCTTAAAGAGTAGAGACTAAATTATTCTAAATGTACCAGGCATAATTTGTAAGTCTCTGTCTATATACTAAACCACAAAATATGTAGCAGGGCAATGCTATTTATTTATTTATTTAACTTTGACAAAAAGCATGCTACATATTGCATGCACGCTGCAACTTTCAACAGCATTGCCAAATGCTGGTCACTAATTTCCAGTGCTGTAAATATGAAATACACCTGTAGTATAATGTTGAGATTAGGGAATAAATAATAACCTTACCACTGTCCACATGGCAGATACAGTATTTGTCATTGTTAGGGAAATATGAGCAATTTAAAAACAACCACTCAGAAATCCTGCTTGATATAATTTTTGCTCTGTTATACAGTAAATTAACAATTCCATATAAAAATCTTCTGTATGGCACCAAATGGTATGCGAGGTATCACACAAAAACTAGATAGGAGTCTGTCCATTTCATGCGTGCATTCAGTAACATTGCTTTATTTTATCTGAGACTAATATAATATAAGTTTGCAATACAGAATGATAAAAGAACATAAAGTAAACTAGTGCCCAGGTTCTTATACGTCTAATGTGTCTAACAATCAGCATGCTCTATCTCCCCCCAAGTCTTTTGTGTTCGTTCACATGGTGCTTGAGGACATGGAAGACTTTATATAAAGCAACAAAATATTAAGTTTATTGTCACTGTTCATGAATCCAGGAGGCCTTTCTTATTGTAGTCCATTAGCCTCCTAAGTGCCAGTGGTGGTTTTTTAACTTGGGTAGTTGGTGTGGATTGGGTATGGCATGGAAGGAGCTGGGTTTGATGGTGTAGAGGGGAGTGGAGTAGTAGGGGTAGGGTAAGGTGCTGTCCCTGATGTGGGTGAGCATGTGGTTGTGGTGGTGATTGGTGTCTTTGGTGTGGGTGGCTGCGGGTTGAGGGGTGTAGCTTGGTTTATGTCAAATCGTGGTACGGGTGTCTGGCTGTGTGTTTCTTTGTGAGGTAGGGTTTGTTGTTTGGTAAGGAGGGGGAGGTCGTCATTAATGATACGTCGAGGTGTGTGTGCCTGTACAGGGATTTACTTTCGGAGGAATTTTTCAGTTACGAAGGGTGATTCTACCTGACCCATCGACCCATACTCGATACTGGTCGAACTGGAGAACCTCAACTATGACACCTGTTTTGTCCCATTTAGTAGGGTGTGGGCCTGTTTGGTTTTGTATGCGAACATGGTTTCTGACAACAAGTGGTGGCAGCGTCTTTGTGTGTTCGGACCATCACTCAGCTGCTTTCTTGTGGCAATTTCGTAAGGCTTCTTCCCTCGCGGCGAGCGTGTCACTCCAGGTTGGATGTGGCTTGTACCGACCAGGTAGGATGGGTATGAAGTCTTATTGGTCTGCCAAAGACGCACTGCACTGGGGATAGTTTCGTGTCCGCGTCGGGGGTGTTACGGTATTGGTGGATTGCAAGTTGAAATGCATCTGTGTCAAGGCTGCCGTTTGGGCTGGTATTGTTTGTGATGAGTCGCTTAATTGTCTTGACCGCAACCTCAGCTCTGCAATTAGAGTGGGGGAATGCGACTGATGAAAGTCGGTGATGGACGCCCCAATCCTGAAGGAATTGGCGTGTTGCAAATGCTGTAAATTCAGGACCACCGTCTGTTGCACACTCGTCTGGGATCCCAAAAGTTGTAAATGTGTGTCTCAAACTGTTGATAAGGCCTTTGGAACCATCTTGGGCCCGTTTGACGATGGGCCAGTTGGAATACCGGTCTACTATGACTAGGTAGTTAACTCCCTTGTAGGTGAAGAAATCAGCACAAACACATTGAAATGGGTAGGCTGGTTGTACTGGTGCTATGGGGGTGCACTGGGTTGTGATGGGGCCATGCGGTTGCAATGACCACAGGTGGCTCGCATGGCAGTGATAGCAGGAGTGATGCCTGGCCAGAAGACCGTGGCCTCTGCACGTGCTGTCATCGAGGTGATACCTTGGTGTGCCGAGTGTAGTACTGTCAGGATGTGTTTACGGAGGGATGGTGGTATGATGACACAGTCTTTATACATAATGACTCTGTCTACTGTGTAAAGGTGATGAAGAAATTGGTAATACTCTTGGAGGGGTTGTGGGAGTTCATGCCGAAACTCTGGAAATCCTGATTCAATGATCGATACTAGTCTGTTCATCATTTCATTGCTTGTGGTTGCAAGTTTCACTCTGTCCCATGTGGTCGCAATTGTGTTTATGGTGGATGAGGCTGATGATGCAAGCTCAGCGTCGATGGTTGGCTGGGTATCGTCTCTTTAGAACGAATTCCAGACAGGAATGAGCGTCCAAGTCCATTTAGGGGGAATGAGGTCGTCGAATCACTTGTTGTTGCAATATCATCTGGGAGTACTAGCATGTCTGGGTTGGGTGTGCCTGTAGGGTGACGGGAGACTGCATCAGCGGCCTTGTGTCGGACTCCTGGGATATGAATCATTCGGAATTTGTAACGTAGGGTTCTTTCCTTCAGATTGCGTAATCGTGCGTTTGGAATATCTTCGAGGGATCGGTCACCGAGTATTTTGAGCAATGGTTTGTGGTCCACGGCGATGATCAGGTCGTTGCAGCCCAGGGAGAAGAATCTGGTTTTGTCAAGGGCATCAGCTACCGCTAAAGCTTCGCCTTCGACCGGTGCATAACGTGATTCGGCTGCATGAGTGAAACGGCTTCCTACCAATGTGATTCGCCAGCCTGTGCGGCAGCAGAAGGGCTCGATGGATGGGCAATTGCATTGTTTCTGGAACAGCCAGTATCCGATTCCATTTCTAGACCAGTCTGTGGCAAGGCATGTGGGCTTTGATTTGTCAAAGATGCGGATGCCCTCGTTTATCTCGCTAATGATTACTGACTTGGACTCTTCGAAAATCTGGTCAAGTGCACTGTCCCATTTGAATGGTGTTCCTGGTTTGAGTAGTTGGCGGAATGGTAGGAGGCGTTCTGTTGCCGCAAAGGCGTATGAAACCTGGTTGATCAGGCCAAACCATGAGCGAACATCTGTGATGTTGGTTGGAGTTGGGAAGTGGCGTATTGCGTCGATATATCTCTGGCACGGTCGGACAGTGTCCATGGTGATTTCAAATCCTGCAAATTCTACTGTGTCTGCGCCAAATGTGAATTTATCTGGGTTTAGGGTGATACCATTACGGCCACAAATGTCTGGCCAGTTGACTGCTTGGAAGAAGCTGGTGGTGAGGTTGTCAGCCCAGAGTAGCGTATCGTCGATGCATTTGGTTTTATCGGGGATGTCTGCAACAATTTCATCGAATCGGCGCGAGTAACCATCACCGAACGCAACATAACCTTGGGGTGCAGTCTTGTATCTGTAGCGACCCCATGGTGTTATGAATGTGGTTAGGTGGCGTCGTTCTCGTATAATGTTACGCTGTGGTACCTGTTCCAGCAATCAAATGCTGTTTTCTTCTTGTTGCTAGGAACGGATCGGGCTTGGTGGAATGGGCTTTGCGTATGGTGGGTCTCTCTTGTCGCATGTATGTTAAGTGCTTGGAAATCTACGGTTTGCCGGGGCTTGCCGTTCTTCTTGGCGCATATTACCATCCGGTGGCACCATGTTACGGGTTCACCAACTGGGACCGGCTCAATGACACCAAGTGCTACGTCTTGGTCAAGGCCAGCTTTCACTTCATCTTGCCAATGGAGAGGTACTGGAATTGGGGTATGGTGGGCAATCGGTTCGGCATTTGGGTCGGCCATAAGTCGCATTGGTGGTCCTTCCATTAGCGGGAGGGGCTGATGGATGCAGGTTTTGAAGGTGCTGGACTTGTAGTAGTCAAGGAGCCATTTCTCCAGGTTCTTCCTGTTGGCTTCCGTTGCAGGGAGTGGTAGTTTGCTAGGTTTTGGGGGTGGGTGTTGACGTCGTGGGCAATTGCAGGTGGGGGTAGGTGAAGATGCAGCAGTTTGTTCTGTTGGGTAAGCAGTAGAGGTTGAGGTTTCTTCTGTGTTGACTGGGGAGGCTTCTCCTGCGGTGGGGAAGTCTTTGGTGATTATGCCTAGTGCAGTGCAGGTCTCACGGCTGAGAAATTGTTTGTCTGAGTCATTTGTCACGTATACGATCTGTCGACTTTCGAATATTTCTCCAGTCTTGGATTTGCCAGAGAACCTCAGGATGGCCGCGCCAAGGATCTTGATCCCATTGTTGGCAGCATGCATTCGCATTATTACTGGGATCAGGTCTTTTTTGTGTAAGCCGATGCGTTCAATCACCTTCATGCTTGCCAGGCAGCTTTGACATCCGGTATCTGCCATGGCAGAGAGTTGAACTTCTTTTGGATGGGTCATTAGGGGTTCAAACCCTAGGGCTCTGTAATGCTCTGGCTGGGATGTAACTGTGATGTTGATGTATGGCTGGGGCTTGGATGGCTGTCTGACCCAGCAGTCGTTAAATTCATTATAGATGTGATGATCCAGTGCGATAGCATGCGCTCGTGGGGTACGATCGGTTGTGGTACAAAGTGTATCAAATATTGCATCTTCGGTACCTTGTATGCCACGATTTGGTGTGCTTAGCTACATGATCTTAGGTTTGTCCTTGCTATGGCAGACAGCTTCAAAGTGGTTTAGTCGGCCGCAGGCATCGCATTTCTTGCCATAAGCGGGGCATTCATTCTTTCTGATCTTCGGTGGGGCAGTCCTGCCATGGCCTTGTTTTCCACAGTATGAGAACAGTTCATTTTTGTGTTCGGGTTTTCGGATCTTCGATTCATGTTGTTTATTCCGGCGGTATGAGCTTCGGATTGCGTCTAAGCCTTGGCTGTCTAGGAGGTGTCCTGCCGATCGCTTACCAGCTTCCTTCGCTTCAATGTAATTGAAACGCATCCTCAAGTGTCATGTCTTGATTTTTGTTGCTGAGTAGGTCTAGTTGTATGTCGCTGTCAACAACACCCCGTGTCAGTACATCGCGGAGGATGTTCTCAGTGTAATTGACGTCAGCATCACAATTTGGGCATTTAGTGAAAAACTTGCATATTCCGGCTTGGCCGCGCAGACGGGCACCGAAGCTTCGTATGGTTTCATCCCGGTCCTGGCGCATGTTGTGTAACTGGACCCTGGCGACCATAGTATTCTCTTCCCTTACTGCAAGTTCCTGATTGCTGCCATAACTTCTTCGATGGGCTTGTTGGTGAGGGTTCCGCCGGCGTTCCTGGTGAGGTCTTTGCGTAGTGGTTCGTCGCAACACTCTAGTAGCTGTATTACCTTGTCCTTGCCTGTTATTTTGGTCGCTTCGACATAGTCCTGCCATCGAGTTTGAAAATAGGACCACTCCTCACTTGTGCCCGCTGCAGATACCGTAGGGCGTCTGACCCGCTCGATTTTGGCTGTTGCTGCTGGATTTGATGTGCTTGTGGGCTGTTGTGGGCATCGGCAGAATGAATGGAGAGTAGCACGGCTGCAAGTTGGCCTTCTGCTTCATCGGTTTCGTAGGTGCAATAGGGATATGGGCATTTGTATTTCGGCATGTTCGTGTTTGATTACACTGTTTGTGTATTATCCAACTTCTAAGCGATGTGAAGTTGTGATATGCAGAATTGCAGGTTGAATGGCGTGGTTTCTCTGTTTGCTAGAAGCTTGGCAGTGTGAGAAGATTCGCTTATTGCTATGTCTCTGTTATTATTTCCTTGGATCTTACCTCGTTTGCTCGAGTGTGTCAGTGGAGTGTGTCTGTCGTCGCTCTAGCCACGATGTGAGCGCTTCGTCTCTAACTTTTTACCAAGTCAAAATTGCAGGTATTCCTCGTCGCTATTTCTTGGTTTAGTCCCACAAATAGCTTGGGTTATTATGTTCTTTTATCATAGATAAGAGTCTGTCCATTTCATGCGTGCATTCAGTAACATTGCTTTATTTTATCTGAGACTAATATAATATAAGTTCGCAATACAGAATGATAAAAGAACATAAAGTAAACTAGTGCCCAGGTTCTTATACGTCTAATGTATCTAACAATCAGCATGCTCTAAAAACTTTACAAAGTGAACAGTGCAAGAAGTGCAAACTTCTAGACTTCTTTATCCCATACCAGTACTTTTAACTGATTTAAAGCTAAATACTGCATTGCATCAAATCTGAAAATAAAGTGGTGGGAATGGAAAGTTTTCCCTGTACCAGCAATCAATGGACTGATAATTGACATCTTATTATTGATGATCACCAGTCTAGCATGACGAAGAAGAAATTTCTACTTGTCTGTTATGTCTGGCCATTATAACATTAGTATATCACTACTGTACAGTACCTTTAATATCCTTTCATTTTTCTCTTTAGGTACTGTTTCAGCAACAACAACCTCATCAATCCCCAGCAATCCAGTTCCAACAAGCATGCTCTCATTCCGTTTTGCAACACCAAACAATACCCAAACACCATATTATATTTCTTCTGATATTGTTTTGAGGCAAGTACAGTTTGATTTGTATTTCACTAATTCACTATTAGATTTGAGGCGAAAAGTGCCTATTATTGAGGTTGGTTAGTTAAAGACTGGTACTGTAATTAAGTCAAATAAATGACTGATTAATTGGCATATGCCAATTTGTGTCGTGTTGGCCATAGTCACCAGTTTGGTACCGGTATATACTGTACATGACTATACTGGCAGTACATCAGGTTTGTATGTTTATTCATATTAATTATTGAGAACATTAACTCTGCATAATCAAAATTAATTCTCAGTCATATTTTTAGTGGTGGTATTGCACAGCAGAACCGAAGGAGGATTGTACATAATGAAGGTACCCATACGATATGCATGTATGAATGAGGTTAAAGCTTTCTGCTGCATTTTGTATTGCATCTTGTAAATCCTTTTGAAAGTGACTGGAGAAGGTAAAATATAAGTGTAACAACCTTTTCTATGTGGGTGAGAAGTTCGAAAAGACCAAATGCTAAAACAGTAAAGAAACAGTCCCTGGCCCTACATCTATATGCAGATTAATTGGGGGTTCTTTAATCTACAACCTTAACCGTACACTCTAAAAACACTCTGGTTAAATTCAACCAGGAATTGGGTTAATAATCCACCCAACACATTCTGGTTAAATTTAACCCATTTCCTGGTTAAAAATTATCAATTCAACAAAAATTTGGTACAATTTTTGGACTTTTAACCAGGAAAATGGTTAATTTTTTTTAACCAGACTTGTGTAGGTGGATTTTTAACCCCGTACTGGTTGAATTAACCCAAATTTAACCAGAGTGTTTTTAGAGTGTAATAACCTACAAAGTTTTACTTCTTTTCACATGTCAGAATTTGATAATTTATTGTTGTATTTAAACAGTTGAAAAACGCAGAAAAGACAAGATCACTAATTGGATAAAGAAACTAGCTGAATTGCTACCAAGACATCGTATTGCTAAACAGGTGAATCACAATAGACATTCCTTTATACATGTGTTATAGAGTGGATCGATATACCGGATATATCCGGTATACCGGTATTTGTTTAGATACCGGTATTTGTTTAGATACCGGTATTGGCGATATTGACAATTCAAAAATACCGATATACTGACATTTCGGTATTTTGCTGCGTAATGCCGGATTGAAAAGCTACTTCAAGTCGAACTTACTTACAATCGTGTTTAGAAACCAAAGTTACTACTCACAGATGGACGATTTTGTTCTTATACAGTTCTAGCAGCTTAATCGAAAATATATAAATGGCGAAAATTTTTAAGGAATGGCGAAATTTTTAACGCTTAGCGCCGTTAACATAATTTGATAATGCGAATCTTGTGAAATTTGCACTAATAACAATATGTGTCACATTAATATTTTGTCAAAACTTAATTTTTCTCGACGTTCAGCAGTTCAGTTTGATTTTAAAAAACACGTTAAAAATACTGGTATACCGGTATTCTGATGGCGGTATATCGGTATTCGGTATTTGCGATATCGATCCACTCTAATGTGTTATATAAAGGGCGGACAATTGATGCAGGTTGGGAAAGGCAAAAACATTTTGCAGGCAAGCAGCCTTTAAAAACTAATGACAAAGAAAAAATCATACACATGCAAGCCTTGATATGAATTTTTCACCTTGCCAAAAATGCAAAATGTAGGGTATTGATCCTCGAAAAGTTATTCCCACAACATACCCCTGAGTGAACACCCTTTCTATTTTTCGGTAAAGCTAATGTTTGGTGAACCACAAAACATTACTCATCTGGCATACTTTCCCCCTGGTCCTGCTCTTTTTCTTTCTGAATCTGTGAATCTACTTTTCTAGTACAGTACTGTGCAGAAGTTTTAGGTCAACTCAAAAATAATCATTATTGCTACATTTGCATTAACCATGCCCTTCAACTCAATGGAAATTTTTCGAGGCTTCTGCATGCATGATATGGTGAGCAAGTTGATTTCGTATGTAATTACTTGATGAAGATGTTCTGTGGGTCATGGTTTGGGTCATGGTGATGCCATCTCCCGTCACTCACGCCAAGCAGAAGTGTTGTTTTTCTCTGTGGCACGGAGCTCCGTGTATGTCTGTAACACAAAGGGGAAAAATATTCCCTTGTTTAAAATTTTGGCTTAAAAACATTTGTGTACCTACAGTAGTTGACCATTGGCATGCAACAGTACTTTGACCTTGAGGATCCCAACGCAGCTGGTTGCTGTTTCTATTTAATTTAACTGCGCTTTGCTGTGAAATTAATTATATTTGAGCCTTTGAAGGTGACCTGAAAATGCTGCACAGTATACTGTATCTTCTACCTAACCCTCCATTTGTGCCAAATCTTAACATTGTTTGCGACCAATAGTTCCGCGGCCCGCTAATTTCCCCCTGGATTTAAGTCACCATGTGTGTTTTTAGAGCAAGAATTATGTGTTGGAAACAGCTTGTGAGTATATTGAAGAGCTTAATGAAATGAGTACACAATTTATCCAACTCAAACTTAGCAAGGAATTACTAGGTAGGTTATTAGTCTTTTTGGCCATATTTACTTTTTATAGAAATATGAAGGCTGGATATTTTGTATAGTCCGTGCGTAGACAGTCGTACTCGTGTATACTGTAGTTTAAATCTATAAACCTTAATTTATATTGACACTCATTTCGTGCATGCTTGCCCTCAACTCTTCGTACTGTCCACGAGAGAAAATGACAAGATTAAATGTATTGGTGGCGTAGTAACCAACATGTACATGTAACATTGTTTAAAATTTTAAAATGGTATATATTTATTTCAAACACTCATTACTATAATAATTCATAAGCTTGTTGGCAAATCATGTCAACCATAATATGTCACGTGAGGAGGCTTTATACCTGATAAAACTCAATATTCATTAGTACATATAGTTATATATAGGCTAGGATGACTGGTATTATAGTATTTGTGTGTTTTTTTTTGTACATGTCATCAATTCCTTTTTAACCACTTTCTTTGCATGTTCCACTTAATTCACCATGTTTGAACGACTGCGTTCATCTGAAAATTTGAAAGATACAGAATTTGTTTAGAACAAACTTTGAGTTTGAGACATATCATGTTGTAGAGAAACAACCCTATTGCGAGCATTTTATCTAAACATGATAATATAATTTCTGACCAAGCTAGCGTTCATCGTCGCAACCAAGGGTAACAGAACTAAAACAATATATACAATATTTCTCTATAGCAAGGATTTAATATAGGTTGTGAAGTTAAAAGTGGAAATAATGTTCGGGTAGAATTTTGGCTTCCCGTAAAATTTACTGTTTTTTGAAATTCTCTGTAGGTGATTTATGTACTATTTAATCTCGTTAAAAAAAAAAAAAAGATTTCACCAAGTTACCTCACCAGTCAAAATGCAGTTTTAGCCTTCAACAATTTTTGCCCAATTTAGATTTTTAAGATTTTAAAAGTTAGAACACACCAATTAGAGATATGCATGGAAGATGCGCCGGTCATGATAAGACGTTAAAACCGAGAGGTTCTCTTACAAATTTAGTGTTTATATCAATTAACTGAAAGCTCGTCATTAAAATAGTTTGGTTAGAGAACGTCTCAATTTGAATATGAAAATTGAATTGTCAAGACGTTCGTCGAAATGTGCTTGAAATTCCGTATTCCACATTCCCACCTTAAAATGGCCATAATCCGCACTAATAAAAATGCTGCCGAATAGTAGTGTAATCTTATATTATACAAACTCTATGGAATCAACCCAATATGTGCACTAGCTAGCAGCTGCACTCTACAGCTCAGTGCATGGGTCAGTACAGAAGCTACAATTGCCAGAAGTAGCAGCATTTTTCGCAGATCATGTATAGGATTACTGTGCATATAGATTTTCACTTATTTTCACTCTCATGTTTCTGTATTTAATTTTCTAGAACAAGAAGTGACTGAACTGAGAAACAAAGTAAACAAACTTGAAGACGAGAACAAACGTTTATCGCAACTCATTCACGAGAACAAAGTGACATTACCAACCACTTGGAGTGATGCTTCGGTTATCACAACAACCATGAGAGCAACATCTTCATCAAGAAATTCTAACACCCAAACAAGCTCCGCTGCAAGCACTGCTATTCAAGGAACTACCGTATCCACTCAGGCGCCTAGGGCTTCTGATGTAATACCAATATCAAGTGCTTCAAGTATAACTAATCGACTTTCAGTTACGTCAATATTATCAAGTGCCAGTAACCAGCAAACTACTTCGAACTCCAGGCATAAAAACTACGAACGCCTTGCTACAACAGGGTCAATGAACAAAAGTGCGGTTGTTTCGACTCAGTCGTCTACCACACCAAGAAGCAACGTGTATGTACCAGCGACTTTATCAGTACAAACGTCATCTACTCCAATGAGTGTAACCAGGACGCCCAATATCCATAGGAGACATAATGTAACTGGAGCGGCACTTGAAAGTGGGTTGTCGCAGACTTCGAGGTCACAACATGAATCTACGTCATCAAATGATGTTACCAAGGTTACCCTCGCAATTCGGACACCCGCAGTAAACACCGTTGTCCAACCAATGTTTGTATCCCAACCTCAAACGGCCATGGTTCCAAGTGGTGCCAACGCGACTACTGTTGCGCAGTTACCGCAACAAACTGCTCCAGCCCCTACTTCATTTGGAAGAGGTTTTACTCAGGTGCAGCAGCTAAGATCCAACTCAGTACAAGACAGTATTTCACAGTTGCCATACAGTATTGATGCATTGACCGGAAACCAAGCTTCGCATAATCGACAGCAGAGTTCTGGAACTGGTCACCTATTAAACTTTTCTGCAGAATCGTTAATTGGACGTCAACAACCGAACAATGATATTGTAATGATGAACAGTCCGGACAATCAACCTGTTATTCAAAACACGTTCACTTTAACACACCGGAATACTCCAACAAACGTCAGTGTTACATCTAGCAGCGCTCCACCACAAAGCTTCTCGAATTTTTCCGCTCTTTCCTTAGTCGGAAGCAATGGTACATTTTCCGGTAGCGCAAGTTCTACTACTCAGACTTTAACACGCTCTACAGCCGCTTTGCCGGAATCGGCAACTATTCCCCAATCAAGCAATCATATGTTCACGGATTTCTCAACCGAATCTCTAATTGGGCCTAGCGAATTCACTTCGGATTTCGCAATTGACAATCTTATCTCGCGTTCAGATTCCAATGTTCACATGGCAACGGTCAACCCTAATCTCATTCAGTCATTTGGGAAAGGAAACGACCCAATGATTTCTAGCGTAAGTGGTGATCATAATAATCATTTTTCACACAACATTGATCCTCCCGGTCTTAATATGGGAGTGTTTTCTTCCCATCTGTTTCCTACATACTGGTGAGAAGCCGCCCCACTGGCCAATTTGGGGAATGATCGAATGATTCAATAATGTCATGGTATTGACTCTCAACATATGGGGATCCTCATGACCCTAATATGGGAGGTGTATCTTTCCACACCTGCATCCATCATTCGTCATATTTATCTATTCATACTGAGTATTGGAGTGTACTGGAGTGAATTTAGGGAATGGTTCAATGCTCTGGTGATTTCTAGTGGAAGTGATCTCCTCCTTCCCTTCCCTGGAGTGTTGGAAGTTCCGCCCGCTTCGAGTCAATTATAGGACAGTTTGGGAGGTAAAACGAATTAATCGTCCAATGATTTCTAACAGTGACGGATACTTTGTGAAATATTGTGGGGGGGGGGGCGAATTTAGTGCTGGTGGAAGTCTCAGTTCTTACTCCTGTTCAATTACATATTAAGGTGTATTCACCTGAAATAGCAAATACGTAAATTGCACCGTTGTGTAATGATGAGTTGACACTCCGTCGTGGAGCGGAAACTACGATACTTGGTGTGTTTGTGAAGGTTGATGTAACCACTTCTCGTCCAAATTGACTGAATTTCTAAACAGGAAAAAATAACAACACTTTTTAATAACCTAATTTTGACCTAATTTTCCAGATGCTGTATATATGTATTATAATGAAATTGGAGTTTCTAAGAATTGAAATGAATCGAATTTTTTATGGAACTGCTGAGGAATTCTTGGACTTGAATCAATATTTAAAAAACAACTTGGAAAGTATTATTTATGAGGATTGTAATAAATTATTGTATAGCTACATCAAATTATATAAAGTAATTTAAGAATTACCGGGATACACAGTTCTCATGGATAGTGTGAAGCGCACAAAAATCTTCTTTCGGTCAAGGGTTAGTTCATACCACAGTGCTCCAGCAAAGTTTAGGATTATTTGCCTTAATTTTACTAAGGTGAATTACTGAGTTTTGTTACATACCTGATTAGGTGAAAGGTACAGAGAAGCCTGGGATGAAAAGAAAGAATTTTAAAACTTTTCTGTGTTTTTCCAATACATATAAATCAATTGCTAATACTATGTGGATAGTATAAGATTGGATAGTTGCTGCCAAGCGTGTGGAACATGTCGACGCTAGAAATTTTCTTTAACCCTATATCTGGCAAATTATTTTTTTACATAAAAGACTGGGATAAAGCCTGGTTGGCAAAAACGATTTGCGATCCCAGTATAACAGTGATGGCGTTATCTCGTCAACAAAGCTCTGACAAGAAAACTTTTGAAACCAAATTTGTATTTCCATCCAAATGTTCAACAGGGTTATACAACTTACAAACCACACCATTTGTTGTCGTGATCAAATTGACGGCAGACCGTAACGCGATCGATTAGTTTAAACTTGAGTATTATATATAAACGTCACCAGACAGATTTGCTAACTTACCTTTTGCTGAGGACATGGTTGAATACTGAATATATCACAATCTCTTGTTGCATTACCACGAGGGAACGTATTGCCACCATAGTAGATATAAACAGCACCTTCCTCACCTATTTAATAGTGTAGGTATGCAATAAAGTGTAAGCAAATATGTTATCTTCGAATTTTGAGATACATTATTTACGGTTATGTAATGGTAATGTCTAAAAGGGATGGACGAGAAGTAGTTTACGAGACGGTTCCTTGACGGTTCCAAAATTGAAATAAGAGTTTTTCATGCGTTAGTATTAGAGTTAGTGTGGGGGTGGGGTGAGGCCGTTTAATTTAATTTTTTCTTTTACGTTTTAATGATCTTAAAAACTGGCGGCCATCTTGAAAACTTGCCTCTAAGAGTCCATCCCCTTTGGCCACGACCGTTATGTAACGCCCCAAAATAACAATAACTTTATGACATTTCAAACAATATATCATTTGCAGATTTATTGTAGCGTAGCATTATACACGCATAGCATCTCATAGTGGGTAATGTTTGAATGACAAGAATGAGTTCATGAAAATAATGCTGAATGCACAGGAAGCTCAGTTACGACGAGGCGGGCATATACGCAAAACCTCAACGTCATTCCCAGGTTCTCTAGCCTTGGGCCCATGTGCTTAATGTCACAATCACAGCAATGACAGTATCAACAAAAATGGATTTGTCAACAATGAGACTGAGGTCTACACATATCTGGAACTTCAGAGTTCAGTCATTCGGCCTGTGCCTTGTGGGAAAAGTGAAGCTAAGATGGCGGGAATTGACGTCCAAATCTATGAAGGTCGTAAACAGTTTTCATACCAGTTCATTTTTCTCAGTTCTAATTTTTTTCATAAGTTATCAGTTTATACTAAACTATATAATTACTCGCCGGGGCTTTGTGTCCCAAATTATCCATAAAGCTCCTGCCAATTTTTACCCAAAGCTGCTGTTTATTTTAACCAGTATGAATGTTTACGTTGTTTTAAAACTGCTTTTTTACAGCATTGATGATTCAACGACAAGAATAATGATGTTTGCGATGTTTAACTCTGAGTGTGCATCCACACCGGGCAAGCTGAAACGTTTGTCTGACCACGGTGGGAATTGAACCCATTGGACTTGTAGTAGTATGTCAGAGGTCGCGATTGTAGTACCATCTAACATGCGTGTCACTATAGCCCCAGTGAGTTAAAGGCCCATTTCCATCAAGAAAAAATTTCCACTGACAGAAAATTTTCCGAAATAGAAACGGACTGGCACTCGACATAAATTAATTTCTCGCCATCTAATTAGCTTTGTGTTTTGGACTATATTGGACAACTTAGTGTTTCAGTGAAGCTAGTGCGAAAAACACGCGAGGGATTATAGATACACTGTAATAATAGGACAGTCGGGCTCTTGTCTCAAAGTAAGCCCCCACCCTCTATGGATTGTCTATGATTTAAGATCGCCCCATTTAATCCCCATTTTCTTGTAGTAATAATTAAATCATTCTCAGTATAAACTTAGAGCGAAATATGAACAAAACCGTCCTACATAACGTTCACTCATTACACTGGAGTATTATATGAAAATATCTCCACCTGTTCCTCTGATGACGATTCTGTTATTTCCAGGGACGCTGGAGCGGGGGGGGGGCAGGAGGGGCAGCCGCCCCTGTTGCCCTTTACCAGTAGGGGCAAAGGTGCCCTTTCAATTTAAAGAATTGCCTTGTCGAAATAGCGAATTGTCAGAAATGTTAGTGCAATTCTTTTACGAATTTGCTTCAGAAAATGCAAGAAATGCAGTCATGGAGCTTCAAGAATAGCACAATCGCCTGGCGGAGAACCCCCTCACACCCCTATCATCCAATACTGTAGAAAACATGATTAGGCGAAGTTCAACTCCCGATGTTTTGTAAACATCCCTTAGTATATGTCAATTCAAAAGTGCCTTTTCACGAAAATCTGCCCCCCTTGCCTTCACATCGTTCCGGCGTCCCTGGTTATTTCTGTAGCTTCCGCCTCTATATATGGTTGCCCCCGCCCCTTCTAAGATATCTCCTGGCAGTGGTCAATGGTTCATGCAACCCAACCACTGGCAAAAATAAACCCTTCGTGGGCTAAATAGAGGGGAAACGATTTATCAGGAAATAGATATATTCTATTTGGTTTAATTTTATTTCATGCATGTTTTCGGGTGAACCATTAGCAACATGGGCTCCACCTTTGAATTTACTGTATGAGTAAATTCTTAAACACGTCCGAATTTATCATTATGATAAATAATAGGTTAGGGGTTAGAGGTTAGGTGTTAGTGGTTAGGGTTGGGGTTAGTGTTAGGTGCCGCGAATTTATCATTGTGATAAATTCAAAATGTGCCGCGAATTTATCATAATGATAAATTCGGAGGTGTTTAAGAATTTATTCATATAGTAAATTCAAGGGTGGAGCTTATACTGACCATTAGATATCCTGGCGGATGATCAAAAGCGAAAGAAAATAAATTAATTTGAGAAAGAAAAGAAAATAAATGAGACAGAAAATAATTCCTGCAAGGATTTCGACAAAGCCCCGAACTTAAAAAATTCTTGCAAGGAAGATTTCCCCCGTATCTCCTCCCAGGAAAACTAATGGTCCTCCTACCTTATCTCATTTAATTAACCGAATATAAAACATTTGGCCGTGATTTGGGGTCAGCACGAAGCTCTAGGTCTAGGAAGATTTTCTGTGATTGGTTGATTATGACAATGACAAAAGAATAAGCTATTGAATGAATTTTCTAAAGAAGGAGCAAGAACAATATTCCTTTTGTTTATGTAGCTAGGCCAATTACGTCTTTTGTCATTGTCATAATCAACCAGTCACAGAACATCTTCCTAGAGCTTCGTGTTTACTAGGAAATTGCCATAATTGGGAGTGGAGTGTTTTCACACAATTTCGAGTTTTCCCAATTTCCGGTCCATGAGTGTCGAGTGTTGATATAACTGTACAGGGTGTATAAAAAAAAACGCAACCTCGGAATTTCCTAAGAAATTACTTTGCAATTCTTAAGCATAAAAGATTTTAGGCCCCTGGGAATTGAAATCGAATTGCTAATAGATCATATTACTGTTGTTGTGCATTAAATAAATGCATAAATTTTGCTTTATGCACTCGCATGTGCAGTAATTTTGACAGTTGTGCTATTTTAAATTCCCAGGCGCCTAAAATCTTTTATCTTTAAAACAATGTCGATTTCTTGGGAAATTCCGAGGTTGCGCTTTTTTTGATATATCCTGTATATCAACTCACGGAAAAATGTGATTTTTAATAATATAGCACAAATTTTGTGAATACGCTTTTGAATTTACTGAATTTAAAGAGCGGCGGGGAATGTTCCCTGTTGATACTGAGTTATATCAACACAGCTCTTAGCCAGTCAGCGTTCAGAATTTACATTTTACAAACCACTGTGGTTACTGTGGTGCAATCTGTGGTGCAACACGCCTGAACACGCCCATGTTCTTAAAATAACTTTTGGCATTGCGTCATTGTTGTAATTTAATACGCAAAAATGGCAAAAATATGTAAACAGAACAACCATATAAAAGCGTGTATATTCGAAGCGAGTTTATAATTCGAAGTTTCTCTTCCAAGCTGGCTAGAAAAGCCCAGAGATATGGGTTGGAATCGAAAAGGCAAGTTCGGAATTCATACGGGACGAACGCTTCGCAATCATCCGATTCAAGGTTACGGTGGAGGCAAGAAATGTCATGAATTTGCTGTTGTCAAGGAACTTAAATTTCCTGACCCAACTGGACGACTGTCGTTCGACAAAAATAGGGTTAATAAACTTGGCGTAAATGACGGCGGATTAGTGGACGATGGACATGTTATTTATTCTATGAATAAACACAAACGATGGCTGCTGCCTGACATGTTAAAACAAGATGTAGAACAACTTTACTGGGACGCAATTTCAGATTCTGAACAGCATTCTAGATCCACGAAACCTTGTAAGAAGGCACACCATGAAGACAATCAAGTACAGAAACTTCGCGTAACCGTTGTAGAGAGACACGCAGGCGATGAAATGCAACGGCATCGCCCTGATTGCATTGGAGTTACTTCGAGTTTCCCCAGCTTGAATTCGTCAAAACCTCTGAGAAAACCGCGCAAAAAATATGCATTCGTTGGAGACCTAAAATCCAACTGTGGCTCTAAAGATGATGCAGAGTTGTGCTATGAATGTTTATCACCATTCCCAAAGAAAGGTTGGCCAATAAACAGACAGCTTCGTCGACTTTATAATTATAACTTGAACGGTAACAAGTCAAAAAAGAAGTGTAAAGGAATGAGAAAT